GTGAACAAAGAACAATAACACCTCGCGTTTGCTCAAAAAAAATACGAACAAAATCACTTGATCAATGCCGAGGTTAATAGAAAGTCGGTCGTGGCAGGTCCACGTAGACTCGGTATTAACCGGCTTATGTTCCCTCATATGATGGAGATCGGGGAGAGTATCAATAGAGTACGAAAACCACAGCGAAATAAGCTTTGTGAAAAATTGCAAACCGTTGAAGACGCGTATATAAAATTCGAAGGACGTGGTTCCGTGCGTTCACCACCATTTGTGATCGATGAATACACTGACCATTTCAGTTTCGAACGACCCACTGATTTCTCTTGCGATCATCCGGCAGCAGTATTGTGTGCGATGGAGCTTGTTCTAAATGTCAGTTCGAGTGCTTTCCCTTCGAATTCTCTATGTCCCGCTCTTTTACCGAATTTCTAGGTTTCTCTGCTACAACATGTTTTATTTCAAAAATCCTTGCAGGACTTTCGAATGTATACAACTTTCCTCAGTGTCTTATCCTCTATGCCTTCAGCAGACTTCTAGGATCTTCAGGTGAAACAAACAGTGTATAATGCTGAGATATTTGCAAACTCCGGACCGCAGGTGTTTGCGTTTTTATCAAACTTTTGAAGAGTTATATTTCGCAACATACCCTGCCATTAAAAAGAAAAAGGCGGTAAATAAAAGGGTTAAGAAACAAACAGTTTTCGAAACATTTAAAAACAACAACGAAACGAAATCGTCGAATGTTTGGAACGTAAAGTAGATCAGATTTTTTCGTCCAGTTACCTTCTTTGTGTATTCTTCTTATAACTCGTTCCACAACTTCCCTAATAAAGCAGTATTCGATGATTAGTTAAGATATTTTCAATTGCGTTGTTTACGCTTATGCTCAAAGTCGTCTCATTTAGAAATTGTTTTCCTTCTTGGAAGTCTTTAGTAAGAATGCAAAGTTCGTGATTCAAGAATGCAAATTCCGAACTGAAACGAGCACTGAAGATTCTTACTAAGGACTTCCAAGAAGGAAAACAATTTCCAAATGAGAGCACGTCGAGCCTAAGCCTTAGATCATTTACCAATATTTTGTGGAGGAAGAAAAGTAATCTTGCCTACAATAGAGAAGCATGATTACCTTTGCTCATGACGAGACCAATCCTACGACTCGTCTTCTCTTTCGAACCCAAATGCTGCACTGAATTCTTTGACCACATTCGAGTAGAGTTATAATGTCAGAACCACTTCTATAGAAGCCTTTCAATTCGCCGTTTAATGTAGCAGAGACAGTAGTGTTCAGGGTAACGATTTTCGCTGTAGAAAGGCCTCATTTTTGAATATGGCTAACTTTAATTATAATATCTCACTAAAAAGATTCCTGCATGGCCCAATACTGCGTGGACACAATTAAAGTCGAAAAGTCAACAAATAGAAAAACTTGTTGATGAGATGAAAGGTGTGAATTACAAATTCAAGTTGAGAGTGTTGACTAATGTTCGTTAGTAATCGCACCATTTACCAGTAGGCGGTAGTAAAACCTTGACAACGGGGTTTTGCTGGGTGTCGTACTGCAGTTGGCTCCATCACCCATCAGGCTGCCGAAACCACGTTCGTTCGATTTTGAAAACCCGGGGACCACGTTAGGAGCAATTACCTGGAGATTTACCTAGAAGAAGTCTTATTTTGTCACTTGTAGCTTGTCAATTCATGCGTAGGCTTCTTTTAAAAAATACTCACCACGTGATAAAAACAAATTGCAACCAATACCTTACAGACCGACTTTCATTAAAACTCCGTGGAAATAATTAATGATTCTCTACACGATCGAGCTGACACGAGGTTAGCACGAAAATTTTATCCTGCTAACATTTTGGCGCCTCCACCTTTTTTAGAGCTGCATTTATCCGGCTCGGTAGTCCACACTCGGCCCTTGTCGTGAAGTGGGTGGTCGTTGTTACGTAGAGTCGAATCAGTTCAAGTAAGCACCGCTGGAATGGGAATGTTCGTTCGGTCGTGCCTTCCTATATAGGCCCGATGTCAGCCTCTTATATCATCCACTTTAGGTGGGCAAAGCGTCCTGTAGCAGTGCAGTCGGTGCTTCGTTTGTGGGCACGCAGCCTGGTAAACAATATTTTAAAAACTGGTTGCAACAACGAGCGCCCATCTCGCGACAACGACCACCTATGGACCACGGACCCAGAACAATTCGGCTGTGAGGAAAGTGAAGGCATGAAAACATTAGTCGAATAAAGGTTTTCATAGCGACCTGGTGTCAGCTCAGTCATACAATAAAAAAAGCATACAAACAAGACAGGCTCAGTCTCATCTCAGAATGCTATAAACTTTTGAAAATTCTGAGAAGAAGGCAAATGACCGACGCTACACGAATGGGTGGTTCCCCGACAAATAGTGACACTGACCGCAAACCATACTGAAAAACACCAATGATGTTATTGTTTTCACAGTATTTTGATAATCATTATAAGTGAGCTTATCGGATAACATAAGAAAGCTGTTTTCCTCCTGCCTATTTAAAGCAGGCCAGTTACAAAGGAAGCACCACTTCTACTGCTGCTGTTGCCGTAGTTATTTGGCTGCCTTCAAACACACCGAAGGTTTTTAAACAGTAAGTATCAGATGTTCTAGTAACAGTCGCCGTTCTAGTCTAAATAGAACTTTATTACTGAGATGTACGATGCTGAAACATGCGCAAAACTCGGAAACCTAGGTGAGCTCTGAGCCGCGATTACCCTTTTCAGGGCTCACGTGTTATCCACTGAATCACCAACGCTCTTGCATCGCTTTTCTCTCTCAGGTGAGAGAAAAAATTATGCTTAATTCATTGATTTTCCTTCATTTCATTTACTGGATTTAATTCATGCACTCATGCCGATTTTTGCTTCCCAAGTCACTCTCTTCGACCGGTGATTGCAAATAGCACCGTTTTGGCGAAAACTGGCTGAGAGAAAGGCGAAGAATGGGTCTTAGCGCCACAGTGGATAACATGTTGAGCCCTAGGAAATGGTTCTAATGGTTTCGTTGCTCACCTGCGGTTCCGCATTTTGCTCACATCACAGCATCATTCTGGTTGTAATTCACATAAAACCCTTCCTTGAGAAAAAATAGTAGGCAGTAAATAAAAAGTAAAACACTCCCAGTTCAGCTGCACCCACGAAAGGATAGAGCACGCAGCCACACTCCCGATTACTGCTATAGTTGAACGGAATGTGACGCAATTGGTCCACTTGCACTTTCGAAATAAAACTCTACGCCTGTTTTCCAAATATTTGCACGAAACGTTGTATTTTCAGCAAACGATGCCTGTTCGTATGGACGTCGACGATATGATCATCCGACTATTAAACGTCGGTGTGCCAGGCTGTGCACTGGTTAACAATGTGAAGGAATCCGAACTGTTGGTGCTCTGCCAAATTGCGAAGTATGTGCTTAATGTACATCGAATTGAATGATGTATAGCATCTAACCACGAATTTAAACCGTGAATAAGCCCATATCGAGTCCACAGAGCCTTTAGAAACCAATACGCATGGTAATGTTGACTTTCAGATTACGGAAACTCGCTCAGACGCGCTGATTTTCTTGTTAATGATAAAACTTGAGTGACGATATCCATTGTTACAAAAACGGCCGCTTGTCGGTCAGAGTTGCTTAAAATGAACGTTTTCTCAAAATGCGACCAACGTGTGGATATCAACACCAGCTGACTCTACAACCAAAGACATCGTCCAGCGAACCTGTGCTTCCGTGCAGCAGTCGAACTTCTGCTTCTGCTAAACTACAATGGATTCTACTCGATGCAACTGCAACGCGACCCACACCGTAAGAAGCATGTGCTTTGGGCATTCGATCCGATTTATTGTCGTTCAGGAGAAAACATGAATTCCGCGAGGCATTAGCACGTCCAAGAAGCCGCTTTTTCCAACAATCTTATGTAGACTTATGAATACAACAAAATATGAAAGCATCATTGTTACCGCCCTCCATCCCTGTCACTAGACAACAATAATCTCCACTCCAAGAGAGTTTACATCTTTTTATACCTTTGCCGATCAATATGAAGCATAAATAGTAGATAGCACTAGTCTTTTGAGACCGCTTGCCACCATAAGCCAAGAACACAACCTTTCATTTTGAAATCGGTAGCGGCACAAATGGCTTTAATATTGTAAGGACCATCTCCGATTGCTAAGCTAACACAAAGTGTTCACAAAAATCAATATTTTCCAAAACAAACGAAAAATTGGCTACTTATATTGAGGCAAAGCGGTGGATATCGCAGGACTTGTCTTGTTCTTGTTTGTTGCATCTCTACTCATTTTTTTTAAGACATGTACTTCTTAGCCAAGCATCGCTGGTTGAGGTTCAAGCCCCTATAAAAATATGTGGAGATATTCATGGTCAATTTGCAGGTTTGTAAAGGTGTTTCGCTCACTACAACAATAAAAGAATTATTAACTACTGCCGAGTTGTTTATTCCTTCCTGAAAATTTTCCACGTTAATCCTAGATGTTCTGCGACTGTTTGATCGAGGTGGTTTCCCTCCGATGGTTAATTACCTCTTTCTTGGTGACTACGTTGACCGCGGCCATCAAAGTCTTGAATGCATTGCGCTGTTCTTCTGCTACAAGGTGAAGTGAAGATCTTTGGAACAAATTTTATAGCCAAAAATCCAAAAAATTTTATAACCTTTTATTTATTTAACTACTTCCAAGTTTAGATCAAATATCCTGATAACTTCTTTATTTTACGAGGAAACCATGAATGCGCTCCGATTAATCGAGTGTACGGCTTCTTTGAAGAATGCAACAGGCGTTACAGTAGCACTCGACTTTGGCTCTCTTTTCAGGTTTTTCCACTTTTTTTTTCAGAATTCCATCTATTTTATTTGATCCACAGTATGAAATAGAAATATAAGCCGCTTTTCAGGAAACGTTCGCAACTATGCCGCTCGCAGGGCTAGTAGGTGGCAAAATTCTTTGCATGCATGGTGGCTTGTCTCCTAAGGTTATTAGAATATCCGCATACCATAAGGTATATAAATACTGTGCTGTACGAAAAAAAAAACACACCTTTATAGTTAAAGTCTCTGGATCAATTACGGCATATCACTCGGCCCATTGATCCTCCAAACCCGTCGTTGCACATGGATCTCTTATGGAGTGATCCTGATCAGCACGTTAAGGTAAGAAGTACAATCATACCTATGTAGAAACTGTAAGCGCACGTACAGATCAGGTGGCTAATCAGTATGCAAATTTTGCACTACGTAACATCTTAATTTTGCGTAACTCATTATCATCCGTACTAGATCCTACTTGGCACTAAACCATTCTTCCTAAAGGAATTCTTGACTGACAAATTACTGCGAGGTTTAGATCAGAGCTTTCCTAAGAGTAGGAAAACG